GCTGGAAGGAAGGGGGGAAGAAAACCATCGCGAGACACTCTTCTGTTTTAACTTTTTTTCCTTGTTCCTTTTTGGAGTTTTCATCCTGCTTTCGTGAGAGGGCAGCGTTTGGGAGGGGGTGTAGCTGCCCTTCTCCTCCAAGCCATCAGCTGAGCAAGACGCCCGCCTGCCCACGCTCTTCCCCGTCCGAGGCTTTCATTAAGGATTGGCGGGGGGGCTGTTTGGCTTTTATTCCCCCCCCATCTGCTGGGTGGTTGCAGCAGGTTTTGGTCTCTTCTGTCGTGCTTTGAGGTTATCCATGAAGCACATTTATTTTGGGGGGGGATCCCCACTTTGGTTGCTAAGCTTGCTTAAACCCTCTTCCACCTCCTCCTCACCAGAGCCCCGGTCTGCAAACAGCCCCTGCCCCAGCCTCACATTGCGTTGCCCCACAGCAATGGCACCCCTGCCCTGCCCCCTCCCTTGCCTCACCTCACCCTGCAGGACGAGCTTCCTACCCACTGCCCCACCCGCCAGAGAACCCCTGGATCTCCCCCAATCCTGCCCGGCCCCCACAGGCATCCCTCCCCAGGAGCAACATCGAGGTGGCCACGTCCACCCTGGCCATGCCCACCCACGCTGCCACGACTACCATAGCCATGCCCAGTCGGTGGCCACACCCCCGGCATCCAGCGATGCATAAGTGGGTTTCAGGTTGCAGTTTGGGCACTCAGTCTCTAAAACAGTGGTGGCGAACCTATGGCACGGGTGCCAGAGGTGGCACTCAGAGCCCTCTCTGTGGGCACGCGCACTGTTGCCCCAGTCCTAGGCCTTCAGCTGGGTTTTATAAAACCTTTTCATTTTAGGCCTCCGCCGCCGTGTGCAAAAAAAAAAAGGTTCAATCAATCAGTCAATTCAACTTCTCGCAGGAAAAAAAAAGATCTTGCAAAGTTGAAATTGATTGATTGAACTTTTTAGTCCCATCCAGTCTGCTGTTTCCACCGCAGCCACGCCCACCCACTGGGCCACACCCACCCGGCACCCGACGATGCATAAGTGGGTTTTGGGTTGCAGTTTGGGCACTCGGTCTCTAAAAGGTTCGCCATCACTGCTCTAAAAGGTTCGCCACCACTGCTCTAGGAAGAAAGCAATGGCAAACCACTTCTGAAAACCTTGCGAAGAAAACTGAAATTAGTTGTCCAGGCAGTCTCTGAAAATCATATACAATTGAATGGTAGAAAAAAAAATCTTTCAAGCATTTTAAGTCCTTAATTGGATTGCAACTGAATATAAATGTAATAAATAATAAACATCTGCAACAGCTAGCTGAAAATATTTTTTAAACGAAATCAAAGAAAGTATTCTGAGAAATAAATATGTAAATGAAAACATAATCTGATCCTAATGAAAACATAACCTGATCCTAAATATTTACTAAGACGTTCACATGTACAAATACTCAATAAGGACAATTTAATCTTACCAAACATTACTACATTTTTTCAGGATAAAGCAGAAGGATAATTAAAAACAAAATAATCTCACACTAGAGAATTTAAATACAGTCACTTCTAACAGGCATACAGAAATTCAAATTCAGAACAAATTCTCAGAATAGTTCAAAGAATTACTGGGAAATATTTTAAAAGTACAGTTTATTTATTTAGAAAATGTACAGCTTGCCCTCTTAGTACATGTACATGCCCTCTTTTTACATCAAAGGACAAGAATAAAATAAAAATATAATTGAAAACATTAGTAAAATTATTGGAGACAAAAAGATAAATATAGCAACCAATAAAACTAAATGTTTACAACAAAAAGCTTATCTAAATAAACATGTATTTGATGTTCATTTAAAAGAGCCAGACCCGGATCTGGTAAGCCTCAACTGGCAACTGCCTCCAAGAACCATGTCTTCAGGAAAGCCACACAAGTGCTGATGTGTGCCAAATCGTAAAAACTAGTGTGTATACACAAAGTGAGAGAGATTCCTTTAAGTATCTGCAGTGCAACTCACAAAGATCCTTAAATGTTCAATACTAATTACACACTACAATCAGCCCTATTGAAGAGTGTGATTTTTTTTTATTAAACAAGGCAGAGAATTACTGTATAAAAATAAGAAACTTAATTTTTTTCCTGCAAACAAAATGTTATATAGCGCAGTTTCCATACAATTAGTGGTACATGCTTCTGATAGGTCTAAATCCAAAAATCATACTAATGCTAATTAAAGCCATTGACATCAGTTTGTTAATCTAAGACAAAAAGATTAATGTATAATAATGAGCTAAAATAGCAATAGCATTTAGACTTATATACCGCTTCACAGTGCTTTACAGCCCTCGTTAAGTGGTTTACAGAGTCAGCATATTGCCCCCAACAATCTGGGTCCTCATTTTACTATCCTCAGAAGGATGGAAGACTGAGTCAACCCTGAGCTGGTGACAATCCAATTGCAGAACTGCAGGCAGCCGGCAGTCAGCAGAAGTAGCCTGCAGTACTGCATTCTAACCACTGCGCCACCACATAGATTTATGTGCAAATGTATAGATATGCCCTAGTCCTGGTATTGCCAATATGAAATCAGTGTACTTATGTACTGTATCCACCAGGCTCTCTGCCCATCAGATTTCTTTTATATTTAGAAAAAAAATCATTTTTTGAAAAGAAGAATTGTCATGCTCTGGCTTCATCTTTATTTTTAATCAGGCCTCTGGTTCTAAAGGACAACAGAAGCATTCTTAGAAAATGATGGGTCAATGAAATGAAATCCAACTACTAACAACCCCCCCCCAAAAAAAACTTCCAGGTGCTCTGTTTCCAACCATTTTAGCTTAGCCTATTACACAAACTAACTCATGCAGTCCATTTATCTTTCAGCATGTCATACAAACCCATAATTGAATAAACCATTATCCTGTTAACCACGGCTAAGAGTATTCTGTAAATACGGCTACTATTTTTACTATAGTTTAGAATAGAGAGAGGATCGTTATTGTTTCCTATAACTCTCTTCAATCATTTTCAGAACAAAATAGTTTTGGTCAGAAATATTAGGCAATATAATATTAATCTTGGTCATCACCACCCGAGCCTGTTATTTTGGGTTATATAATTGATCCATTGTGTTTATGTGGATTATTTACTTGTACGGAGTAATCCAATACATATGGGGCATTTAAAATGTTGCCCATTTCAATCCCTTATCATGATAACTATATGCATTAACCCCATTCCTTCTTCTCTGGTCAAGAATAGCCAGGATCTCGGTTCGACAAATCTTCAAAGCTATTTCAGGCCTAATGTTTTGCTTAGAAGCAACGCGCGGTCACATACTAATTTTAGGTGGTCCGGAAGCGGCTGAGGATGTAGGCAGTAAACCGCTCCCAGGCACTGACGGCAGGGCAGCATCGAAAGTCAAGAACTTCGTCCCCCCTTCGCGGAGAGGTCCCTTCGCCCCTCTTGTGCCCACCCCAGAAGCGGCACAAGCCCTTCTCGCGTTCTCTATCCCGGAGGAATAAGCGTCACAAGATGCCGAGCGAGCCTTCCTTAGCAGCCCGTAAACAGCAGGAGCCGGCCGTGCACTCAGCAGCGCCGCTCCGTAAAGAAGCTCGGCGGAGGCGGTTTCCCCTGTTTTCCGGCGGCGAGGACGCCTTTTGTTTCTGCTCCTGCCCCGGCTCCCTCCGGGGAAGAAAGAGGTGGCGGGGGGGGGGGGGGGGGAGAGAGAGAGAGCCAGCGAGGAAGGAAGGAGCGGCTGCTGCAACACGGCGGCTCCATTTCAAGCAGAGGCGCGGGAGCCGGCGGTCACGTGACGCGATTCCTGGAAAGTTCTTGGAAAGCGGCCTTTGCATTTTTACCGTTCCGCGAGTGAAAAAAAAGCAAAGCAAAATAACCGCGGGGAGAGAAAACGGCCGAGCACCGGGCGAGGCACCCCGACGCTGCGTCCAGATCGCTTGCAATGTGTCCCGGGGGAGGGGGGGGGACAAAGGGGGGGACTCCACATACTGTAAGCACGAGAAACCTGTCTCTTCCCCCCCACCCCCGCACCAAGCAGGAGCTCGCTCAGCCTCCCTGAAATGGCAAAAAAGAGCAAAGACGGGGACAACGCTCGCCTCGCCATTATTAATCCCAGTCATGACATGCAACCGCGTCACCCCACTTTCTGAGTTGTTTCGGTATCGGCGCGCGCCAGGGAGCAAATCTCGCCTGCCGGCCGCGGCTCTTCGCTCCTGTTTACTTGGCGTCCACGCGTCACATGAATATTTCCTGCCGCGGCTTGGTAGGATAAGCTCTTGTTAGGAGAGCATAACCTGAGCTGGCCGGGCCAGCGGCCACTCGCCCGGCCTTTCTCTCGCTCTCAAGCAGCTGATGCCGCGGTGGTCTTTTTCTCCCTCCCCCCCTCTCTCTTTTGAAACAAAAGCAGGGCTGGTCGCCGTGGTGAGCCTCCCAACGGCCTCTCCGTTTAAAAAGCGCCGCGCTAAAGAGACCAGCATCCCGCCCTTCTGGGTTTTGCCGCGTTTGCTGGCGAGGCCGAAGGTAAGAGTTTGGCCGGGTACACACGACTCTTCGCCTCAGGGCTGCCCACCGCTTATTTCCTAGACAGCAGCCGCTCTCTTGTGTGCATAGAAAGGGAGGAGAAGGCGTGCACCTTGGAAGCAGCCGGTAAGCCATCCTCGAAATTCCCGGCCAGGTGGCGGCAGGGCGCTTTCCCGGCGGGTGCTGTTTCCCCTCGTGTGCAATGGGGAAGTCAGGACAATAGGAAGGAGGCAGAGAAAAACGGACGCCCTTCGCCCACCCCAGCGACAAACGGGACGCCTTTCCGAGGGATGCTCCGTAAGTGAAGGTTCGGAGTGGCGGATTTCGACGGAGCCTCTCGCCGGGCCCTGGTTCTCCTCTCTTGCAGAGCTGCAGGTCCCTGCGGGCGCCGGTCAGATGGGCTGGGGCAGCCGCCAGGAGCTCTGGTAAGGGTCCGGCGCTCCGTGCTTTCCTCCTCACGCCGTGGTCTCTGCCCCCAAATGACCCTGCGCTCGGCCGAATCCTCGGATGGCACCGACAGGGCTGGGGCCGAGTGGGAAGCTGGAGGAGCCGCGGCGGAACCTGCTGAAGGGGAACGCCTGGACTCTGCCATGCGGGAGTTGAGATGCGCGGGTAAGCTAAGCGTGGGGAATGGGAGCGTGGGAGTGGGCACCCGTGGTTAGATTGACTCGTGGGATCAAAAAATAGCTTGTCCCCTCCCTGCGTGCAGTGTTCGTGGGAACTGGAGTGATTCTGTTGTGTAGCATCATCAGCGCTGATGGGGTTGTGGGGGGAGAAAGAAGACCCTCGCCATTAAGCCTTTGAGAGGTGGAGCCCCAAAAGGCGGCGCTCCGCAGAATCTGAAACGGGAGGACGAGGCTGCAGTCACGACTCGAAAGGGTCGCGCTTCGAGGGTGGAAAGGCGTTGGGGCTGAGCCCAAATGATCTCGTAAAACTAATGTGTTTACCTCCCTGGAAACCCCTGCAGGCTTAGCTATTTTTCTACAAGTTCCACGATGCTAGTTTGAAGTCCGTCGTTCGTTGCTTGCGTTTTGGAAACTGCATTGGGTTTTCAACTTTTCTTTAACGATCATTCCGAGTTAAAGTAACTTTCAGGAAGCAGGCAGAAAATCCTGTCTGATGGAATAAATAATAGTTTAAGGTTCTGGGAATAAGAAGGAAGAAACAAGTCCTGTTGTTTCTCAGACCTGTATGTTGGAGCGCTGTGCTGCAACTTCAATCCATCTTGAATTTCCACATTTCAGATTAGCCAACACAATTAGGTGTTCATTATCAGATACATTGTATAATCCTGAACTTGTTCTCCCACTAGTAGTAGCACCTCAGAATTTAGAGACTGGTAAAATGCAGGGCAGAATTAGGAGTAAATCTCAAGTTACATAAGCATTTCTAGGAAAGCATTTCTGTATTAATAAAAACAGGTCAATTTGTTTAGAATAGTGATCAGAAATTCTAATAAGAATTCTTTGAAAAATCTTTTAGCTTTATTCACCCTAGGCTTTTTATTTTACTTTTACTTTTTATATTACACTTTTAAAAAGATGTCCCTTTTTCACTACAGTTTTCCTATTTGGTCCTGTATTTAGTTCTGAGACAAAATTGGGTACACTACAAAGCTCTTACTTTTAGCTATTACTACTGTATTATAACAAAAAATTATTCCAATTCTGCCAGGTGATCCTAGGAGTTGTATTTTAATGCATGTGGAGACAACCATCTTGGACAGGCTACTTCAGTTATTAAATGAAAGGGATATTCTCTTATTCTTTGGGATTAAGAGAAAGTGTTGATTTTAGGATTTTTAGGATCTAAATTTTGCCTTGTTCTAATCTCATGTTTCACATATCTGCATTGTATTTGATGGCTGAAGTGTTATAGGGTTTTGTTTGTTTGTTTGTTTGTTTAGCAGAGCTGTTAACAAAACAAGGCTATTGAAAAATGGGCAGCCTTAAATCCTGCTGATATACATACATACAGCATTTTTGCAATACAACTAAGTATATTGGTTCAGAAATCAACCCTATGCAGTATAATGGTATTTATTCTTAAATAGATACATATCATATTCTATTTGCAAGGTATCTTTTCTGGCCTTGTGGGGCTGGTATTCAAAACAGAAAGTAAAAGTGAGAAACTGCATTAGTTATTCAAGGACACCCAGGAAGTAGTATTAGAATGTTAAGTGATTTGAATCATTTGAATGCATTTATTATGTTGACTTTTATAAAAATTCTTCAGTGCAGATAATTATGGGCACTGGACTATCCTCGGCTTCCAGTGGTATTCTGTCTAAAAATATGCTGAAGATTCTTAACTATTTTTTGCTTTCTCTTCTATTAGGATGGTATTGGGGAAGCATGAGTGTTGCAGAAGCAAAGGAAAGATTACAAGAAACATCTGAAGGGACTTTCTTGGTCAGAGACAGCTCTCACTCAGAATATTTACTTACTATTTCAGTCAAAACCTCAGTAGGTCCTACCAACTTACGAATAGAATTTCAAGGTGGTAAATTCAGTCTGGATTCTGTTATCTGCATTCGATCAAGACTCCAGCAATTTGATAGTGTGGTTCACCTAATTGAATATTATGTCCTTATGTGCAAGGATAGAAGAATGGTTTCTGAAATACCTTCCAATGGAACAATCCATCTTTATCTGAACAAACCTCTCTATCATTCAACACTGTCTCTACAGCATCAGTGTAGAGTAGCAATAAACAGATATACAAGTAAAATCCAGGAACTTCCGTTACCAACAAGATTGAAGGAATTCTTAAAGGAATATCGATATCGGGTATAAGCATCTACTCAGCCTCATTTTAAGAAAACAGGTCCTGAATACAATTTGTAAGAAATCAAAATCTTCAGCTGCATGAACGTATCATGTAGGTCACTGTGAAAATGGTATGTTATTGTGTATGTTTGTGGATTTTAGTAGAGGACTTGGATTTAATGTTCACTATTACAACTTTGGTGCTCAGTAAGCTCCCTGATGGTATTAGAATTACAAGCTGGGGGAAAATGTGTTTCAGTGGGAACAAGTGCCTACAAGAGAATGGTTCATTGCTCTTTGATACCTATGCACTCACTTTGTTCTTAATATAAATGAGGCAGTTTTGTATGGTTCTCTTACAGAGAGCCATCTTGTGAAATATTACTAAATCCCAATTCAAATGATGTGGCTGCCCTTCAAAATAACTTCTGAATAATGTGGACCAGTCAGTGATACCATGGGTACCTTAAAGTAATCTATGGTGCTCATTCTGAGAGCATATTGCATTCATCAGTATTTTGAAAGATTAAGAAAGATTTGCTGATTCCTAGTGAACATTTACAGTTGACTGCTCCCCTCATATCAGAAGGGCTAAGGGGAGGATAGGCATCTGGATTTCAGCAGCAAATGGCTAACAACTCTGCATTTAGGTCACTGTAAACTTTTTATGAAGTTACAAAGGGAACATACATTTTGGGCAATAAATTTCCAGCTAGCATAAAAGATTGGCATAGAAGAGGCTGATGAGATTCACTGTCTGAGATTAGATCAGTCTAAAGCTCCTGATTATGTTTTTTGCACATTATTATTTACATATTAATAAATAGCAAGCTTTTATTTCCTAATATTATAGCACTCGAGTGTTTTCTTATTAAAAACTTATCTAGCAGTTCTTTCTGCTTATGAATACATGAAACTTTTTTTTTTGTGCCTTCAAGTCCACGTTGACTCTTCGTAACTGCCTAGACAAATCTTGCAGTTTTCTTGGCAAGATTTTTGGGAAATGGTTTGCCACTGCCTGCTTCCTAGGGCTGAGAGAGAGAGAGAGAGAGAGACTGAGCAATGGTCACCAGTTGGCTTCTTGCCTAAGATGGAACTGGAACTTACGGTCTTCTGATTTCTAGCCTGATGCCTTAACCATTACATCATACTGGTGCTCTTATGAAAGCTACAGAGCAAATTTATCCATTTTTACTCAGAATATAAGCTTAGCATTATAACAAAGTTCTATTTGAACAGTCAAAATGGGAATAGATTTCTAGATAAGGTATAAGGCAGTCAATCATACATGAGCTCTGAACACTCTGGGCTGGAGAGCTGCAACAGTCTCCCTTATACACTTAGATCCCAAGACTACACAAGCCCCACCCCAAGCCTTCAGTATGGTCTCCACAAAGCCTCCCTAAATAGTAACTTTAATTTGAGAGAAATGGGAGTATGGTATACATGGGGAGTAACCATGTCAGCTGTATGTATTTAAATACAGTTTTGTTTGGTCCTGATCCTACAGAGCTAACACTTCTCTGAAAGGCCAGAAGCAGCCCAGGCCTTGGGGAGGGTGTGTGTGTGTGTGTGTGTGTGTGGGGAACAGGTAGAATCAATCATTCCTGATTTAAAAATAATAAAAAAATTGATTAAAAATAAATCTTATTTCAAAGTAGAGGTGAAAAAGCAAAGGTCACATTATCACTGTTAAAAGGACTCAGTGAATACATTATGGCAGGAGTCCCCAACCCCCGGTCTGTGGACTGACACGGTCCACAGCATTCTAGCAACCAGTCCGCGCAAACAAGCGAAGCAGGCAGCATGCAAAACCACACCCCCTCCAGTCCGCGGAAAAACCTTTCTCCGTGGAACCGGTCCCTGGTGCCCAAAAGGTTGGGAGCCACTGAATTAGGGTAAGGTACCACTATTTGTGTTACCACAGACTTTTTATTCTAGATCCCTAACTTCAGTAACAGGCTTCCCTTGAATGAGACTTTATAAATATCTAGACTGCAGTCTTGCAGTCGTTTCAATCCAAAACAATAGCAAATATGACTAACTTCTACAATGTAGAATTTTTTAGTGTTCTTATTTCCTTGAAATGCAAGTAATTTTGCCTTTAAAAAAAAGACTATTCAAGCCTATAACTGTCCAATTTCAGACTGTATTCAGTAAATCAAATTGTAGTGTGCTTATACTCATAATGTGTTTCTGTGTTCAAATGAACTTTTCAAAATTGTACAAGCAATATTTGTACAATATTGTACAAGAGCAAAAATTATGGCACCAAGTGTATTCATACTGACATTTTAGCAGTTAAGTTTGATTAGTTTAGTGATAGGCAATAAAGTAACTCTAAAAATCTAAAATTCTTCTCCTACACATTGCTTCAACACTCTTTTAATACTATTCAAGCTAATAGCCTCAACTACATCTTATGCCATAATCCCATATAACAATTATGCATTGTGCAAAAAAGGATTTCATTTATTCTGTGCTGAAGGACTTGAATTTTAATAATATGAATAAAGAAGAAAAATATCCTCTTTCTTTAATTCTTATATACTACTACACAAGTTCTCACCAGTTGGTGGATGCAGTCATAGAAACTTTTTGAAACTTAATTTTAAAGTTAGTCTTTATTCTGTTTATTCAAATAAGAAAAAAAACATCTGGGGATGCAAAGAGCCAGGTGCACATTAGGAGCTAAATTTAGACAGGGCTAGAAACTGAGGCCATGCTCACATGATTATTTGCAAAACTATCTTGTGTAGATACATTTGTTGCTGTGGGAACAACAAAAATGGAGGTATGTAATGTTATTGATGAAATGTTTCTTTTACATCTATTTTCTCATTTCTGTTTTGATATATTCAAAATAAATATGCTAAAATTATTTCACATGTTGTTGCACATTATATTTTGCTTGTAGGTGGCTGTGGTAGGAAAGTTAAGATGTCAGTACAATGAATGTGGGACCAATTTCCCCCCCTTTCTTCTCTCACAAAGAATCCAAATAAAATAAATTAGTACAGAGAGAGGGAGAGAGAGAAGTTGAGAGATGAAGTAAGCCTCTATAGCACACATCATCTCTGGACCACCCATCGAACACTTTGATTTGGCTCAGTGAGCTCCAGTGGAATTCTGGGAACAGCAAATGGGTTGCTGGGATAGTGCAAGTGGCCTTTGGATTGCCCATTGATATAGCAATTTATTATCTCCTTATTATTGCAAAGTCTCCTGTTCCTAATCTTTTGAACTGCATGTTGAATTAAAAGTGGAAGACTATACCTCCTCATATTCTTGATTTCTATAATGCTGGGATGAAATATTTTGTAGTCTTATTCTGGTAGTAGTGAGTCAAAGGTACTGTGATAACTCCAGCACATGGGGCTGACTGTCAAGCCATGTTAATCATTGGTGTACCATAATGTGTAGCCCTGCTCAATATGTAGATTCAATTGCTATGGCTGATTAAATAGTGTTTTAAAATATCCTGGCTTAGTATTTGTGTGAACAGGTTATTTCCATACTAGCTTGGTGTCATTATGCTGAAAACTTAAGCCTTATCTTTATTTTACTACCACTGAGAGAGTCTATTGTAAGGTGTTGGATAAAATTAGATGTGTTTCTAAAGAGAAACAGGCTTCGTTTTTGTCACCTTTGGGTTGGAATTGTGAATGGAAATCAATTGCAATCTAAACTTAGCTCTAACAGAATATACTAGTGTGCATATTTTTTGTAAATTATGCACCAACATAATTTAGTTTATGTTATAATCCAGTGATGGCGAACCTTTTAGAGACTGAGTGCCCAAACTGCAACCCAAAACCCACTTATGCATCGTCGAGTGCCGGGTGGGTGTGGCCCATTGGCTGGGTGTGGCCCATTGGCTAGGCGTGGCCCATTGGCTGGGTGTGGCTGCGGTGGTAACGGCAGACTGGGTGGGACTAAAAAGTTCAATCAATCAATTCCAACTTTGCAATATCTTTTTTTTCCCCGCGAGAAGTTGAAATTGACTGATTGAACTTTTTTTTTTTTTTTGCACATGGCAGCGGAGGCCTAAAGCGAAAAAGTTTTATAAAACCCAGCTGTAGGACTGGGGCAATGGCGCCCGTGCCCATAGAGAGGGCTCTGAGTGCCGCCTCTGGCACCCGTGCCATAGGTTCGCCACCACTGTTATAATCTAAAGCAGAGGTGTCAAACTGCCGGCCCGCGGGCCAGATGCGTCACAAGGAAACCACGCCCACCCCATTGCCGGCAATGGGGAAAAAGCTCTGATACATCGTGCGACGTCACGTGACATCTCGAGTTTGACATGTCTGATCTAAAGAATGAAGGAACCCAGAAAACATGCTTAATATTATAATTCTTTTATTAAATCAAAAGTATTATCTTCTAACTAATGTTTCAAAGCCTCTAATGAGGCTTTGAAACATTAAAGATGATCACCATATTTAGCATTCCCAATAGTTAAATTATCTCTTGATAGTAGATTAGTTATGGTAGAATTTTTCCTCCAATTTGAAGGAACAACTCTAAATATTTACTGATGAAGCAAATGTAATTCAATGCCATAAAATATATTCCCATACAATGTTTATAAAATCAATCTATAAATGCCTTCATGTATTATACTAAAATACATTTTTGCTTAATTATGGTTATTATGATTAAAAAACATACAACTTATCTCGTAACTCAGTGTGACATTGAATTCAATCCATTTTATTTCAATTCTAAGATATTTGGTAAATATCCAATATTTATTATGTAACTACATTAAAAGAGTCCTGAAAATTATTATATTTCAGTGCAGGAAGCAATATATCTTATTGTTAAATCAACTTATACATATTTCAAGTTATGCATAAATACTGATGAATAATTATTTCAGTTGTACCTCTTGTGAAAATGCTTTTAGCCTGTTCTGTTAGATAAAATACCATATTAAAACACTTTGAAAAACTAGAAAAAATACCCTCTGGAACTTCTGGATCCATTGGGTTCTAAATCCATTGGGTCCAATGGAAAATTCTAGAGACTGTCACCTATGGAAAGGTCCAGGACATTCATGACTTAAAGTGCACCAATGAAATGATTTTACCAAGCCAAAAGAAAGATGTCACCATCTTCCATCTTCAGAAAATGTCTCATCTTCTCTGAAGTGACAAGTAGTCACTATCTAGGTGCATGGGGTCACAATTACTTGCAATAAACCTACAGTGGCCATGGAGGCCATTTACTCATACAAATTATTGCAGTTCTATCCTCCAGGGCATGGAGATTGAAGCCCTGAATACTCTTTAACAGTATCCAGGAGCTTCTATAAGGCTATTGCTATACCATCAGCAACCTTAGCTTGTCTCCGTAGAACAATTCTTCAGACATTCATACACAGCTATCTCTGGAGCACTTTTCATCACTGCTAAAGTCTCATGCATGACCATGGCAATCCATTCTCATTGGCCTTGCCATCTCTGCTGCAACACTTGAACTGGTTATATATTCACTTGGGCTACACTCCTGTTACTGCTCAACCATGTCTCAGGTGTGCATTCTCATCTACTACCAAACCAGAGATAGATGCAATCTTATTGCTCACAGAGATGGCTTTATTAGCAGAAGCCAGAAAGCCTAACAAATTGGCCACCTATACCTAGGCTTGGGTCAAACAGCTTACAAATAGGGTCTGTACTATGGGTATCCAAACTTTTGGCTTGTCTTGGCCACATTGAGTGAAGACCATCTTGGGCCACATATAAAGTATATAATATAGTTGATGCATATAAATAACAAACTTCCTTTGTTTTTAATGATCTTATGGGGCTGCATGGAGTCCACGGGCTGCAGGCTGGTCTATATCAATAATGCAAGCCCACTATCTCTTGCAATATATTCCCTTGCCCATCCTGGTGCTAAATTGAGCCCTCATTGTATTTTCTCCAGAGGCCAACAGTGGTTCCAACCATCACATACTTCACCAGCCTTTGCCACCATATGCAAGGCATATCTGTGCACCATGCCTGGTCAGAGTCATTCAACTACTTACTCAACACATTTCAATAAGCCAATTATTGCCACAAATTACATAACAGTCCCTCCATTGACAAATCCAATTCATACTCCTTCCTTTCCTGGGACCTTCCAGATAATAGTATGCTAGATTCCCCTGATGCCCCACATATCTCTCATTCAATCTTCTTCTGGTCTCATCATGAAAATGTACTCAGTCTGGTTAGATCTTCAGCTTGTCTCATCTTCCCTAGCAGACTCAAAACTTCTGGCTCACTTAAATTGAGCATCATTGAGCAGTGTCATCCATGGAAACATACAATCCTCTCTTGCTGCATCAAGTTAGCAAATGCTTCCTCCTGTGCTTCTTCAAAATGATTCCACTCATCCTGTCAAGATACCTTGAAAGACCATATTCAAAACCCTACTCCCTCATGAATAAGTAGACTTTCTCTATAGCACTGACCTTTGGAACATCTTATCTTGAGAGCTGATCCTGACAGATGGTATTTTGCAATGATATGAAAACTGTTTGATGCTGCCAAACTTTTAAAGCTTAATTCTGCAAGTTACTTCTTGAATATCTTTTATAGGTTGGACGTATGTTATTTTATTCTGTTGGGAAAGGATGGAAATTGTGAAGTTTTATTGTTACATTTTTGCATATTGGTGGTATGGAGAATGCAAAAATACTGCTAATATATAAATTATAAAATCATATGCTTTGCTAATGATTTATTTCTTAAGAGAGTTCTCCTTAACAATGAAGTTAATTTCTGGTTTTAAGAACCTGGCCAAATCATGATCCATTCTGTTCTTGTAACCTTTCTAACTAAAAAAACTGAATTTGATGTCTTGAATAATACTTCTAAAGCTTCAGTTTGGAGTCACAAGTACACTTCTTGCAGATGACTGCAGCCCATTATATCAACTGTTAGAAGAAAACATAATTTAGTGATAATCAGTGTAATGTGTATTGTATGGTCACACCTTAGTAGTGACCAGTGACTTGATTCTTCTTGAATTGCCATATTGCTGCAGCACAACTCGATAACCACAACAAAGCATGCAAAATTACTTTACTGCCATCTAGTTGTCATCCTGATTGTTGCACCACAATATTTTGAGCCCTACATTCTTCTGGATTTATTCATATATTAATGTTGATTTAGCAATATAATATTTCATCAGTAAATATCAAAAAATTAAATTTCAACTCATTTCAAATGCATGGTAATTGTAGAGAACTTCGGGAGGGTAGCAGCAGAAACCCTTTTTCCAACCTGAAGAAAGATAAAAACAATTTCCAGCTTCTCCGAGGATCACGCAATTACAATTCGTAGCATAGTCCACGGAATTCTGGGAATTGTAGTTTCGACATATTTAGATTCCAGGCTTTTAGCACGTTTTTGGTCGTAATATGATTTTGAAATAAAGCTTCTGTTCCTTTTCAACTTTTACGAGCAGCCCTCGCATCTAATCACAGAAACAACCGTTCCAATTTCAGATTGCTCCACTCTTTCCTCTAAGAAGCTTGCATTCCTATCTTGTAGGCGAAGGGCAAAATGGCGGCAAAAGGATGCAAGAACTTCCGACTCGAATCGTCGCGCAAGTTTGGTTCAAGCGCCCGCCTTTCATCGAGGTCTCTCGCTTGTAAGAAATGTGGGAAAGGAGCACTTCCTGTTTAGCGATTTTCTCTCCAGGAAAAATGGTGCAGGGGGATCAGTTCAGAATTACGCCTGGAGTTAATAAATAACATTTCCGCCTCATTTTGTAAGTATTTTAAAGAAACAGCTTTTTTGTTCTTTTTATTGTGCTGATTATATAATTCCCAACGGAGAGTTTTCAGAGCAGTCCGATTATTTTCTTAGGCTTTATATAAACCTTCTGCGACTTCATTTCTCTGCAGTTTTTCTTTCTAGGGCAATGTTCTGCAGTTTTTACTTTAAAAATGTTATTACTTTAAAGAATTACATTTTGCAAGTAATGGCTTTCAGTTGTGAGTAGACTATTATTGCTGCATGCATAATTTTTAAGAGAAAGAATAGCATTGTCTGAAAGCTACTTATATGATCGTCCAAAATAAAATGATTTGAGCATAGCTGGTTCTTAAATTGGGTTCTGGATATAGGGTATAAAAATAATTAAGACAAAATAAGGAAACCTGGGATTCTTCTCACTTTGTTAATAGAAGGGTTTGTGGGGAAAATCCCAATATGTTATCCTGGAGTTCATGAAAAAAGATAAATCATGATTTATTTATTCAATTTGCATGGCCTGCCATCTCATCTAAGTGACTCTGTGTGGCTCACAACAAGTTAAAAACAATCCAATAAAAACAAATTAAAAATCAATATACGTACATACATATTTAAAAACAAAAAATGCTACAAGAAATGTAAATATGTTGAACTTCTTGCATGATTACCCAGACCATTTAAATAGTCAGATCTGGCTTAATGCTTCTGCTACTTTTTCTCAGATTGCTTTTTTTTTTTTGTAATATTTTCTGCTGTTTGATATGTTGGTAATTGTAATTATTTTCTGGAACAGGTCCCCTTAGAGCTTCTATTTATTTTTGTCTTACAATCCTGCAGGTTTTGTTTGAATAGTTTTCCTAAAGTGGCTCACATCAATCTATGGAAAAGCAAAGCTCAATTGGATGGTATTAACATTGTGTCATAAAACTGACAGTTTTAAGAAAATCAGGATTAAATTAAGGGGTCACAGTCACAAATGTCAATATTTCTTAGAAGACACTGGAGTGCTTCTTCTAAGGTGCTCCAAAGTTGTTGCTACAATAATATAATGGTTGACTTAGGTTTCTGCCAGTGAAGAATATTAAACAGAATCTGTGCTAAAGGTCTAGGTCAGGGATGTCAAACTGCTGGCCTGCAGGCCAGATGCATCATAGCGAAACTGGCAATGGCAAAAAAAGTCACCATACCTCATGTGACATTGTGAGTTTGACACCCCTGGTCTAGGTGGACTGTGGAGCACATGAGGATGTGTGTGTGTGTGTGTGTCTAATCAGTGGCCTTGGACAGTTAATAATCCAGCCCCACAAGATTTTATAAAAAATATATTTAAAAGGGATGTTTGCTATTTATATACATTAGCTATATTATATATTTTATGTGCTGTCCAAGACAGTTACTGTTCATTCACTATAGCCCAGCAAGTCAAAAGGTTAGACATACCTGGTTTATGGATTTAAAAACAAAGCTAAAAACAAATTAGAAGATGAAGCTTGTTCAGCTAGTTCCAGTCAAAATAATACTATATTTTAAATCAGGTGAATTTCTAGACATTTTTCAAAGAAAATTATGTTCAGAAATATTGAACTTGTTGCAATAGTTTAAGAGAAAGGAGGAGCATGAGACAATAATTGGATTTACACACTGAACTAAGCTGCCCATGCTTTTAGAACAAATGGGCACATTTTGAAATCTGAGTATATTAAGGATCCTCTCACAAATAACTGATGGGCGTGGTCAAACCAATCAGCCATCTACCAAGAAACAAACTGGTGTGGCTGCTGCCCATCATTCCTTTAGTTCAATGTTTCTTAACCTCTGCAACTTTAAGATGTGTACATTTCAACTTCCAGAATTCCTCAGATAGCCATGCTCTTAAAATGTTCTCTATTTAGCTTTACTTTTTTCTTAAAGGCAGGTCCACTGGGGAAGTAGATAAACACACTTCCAAATAAACCACTGGATTGCAGTTGACTCTTTATCATTTTTTTTAAATGCAAACATTACAAATTTGGGGGGATCTGTGTGTGACCCTAAAACACCCTTGGGATACATGTTTGAAATGGAAGCTTTGTTTTGTAGCACAATAGCTTTACATTTTCTTTATGTTAAAGTAAAATAAAAATAGGTGGAGCAGCTAAACAGCCCCATGCTGGCAACCTAACTGTTAAGCTTTCGGATGTTTAATTTATTTGCTGAATAAACTACAATCAACTAGACTTTACATTGTTCTGTTATAGAACCAAACAGATCACATGATTTTTGTAATTTGTAATTTGTAAATCTAGTCATTTCTCTTTGTTGGAAAGAGCATGTGTTGTACACACCAAAGCCATAGATGTGAGTCTTTAAAACTTACCTTTGAACTGAAGAAATCATCTTAAAACATACCAGCTTAAAGTGATAAATCATAATCAATGATGTCTTTATATTTTAGATATGTCCTAATCTTTACAACAGCTACCAGTGGTGATGAAATATTAAAATACAGGTCTTCTGGGTCTTTTGCAATATGCCGTTTTCTCTCTCTCCCTCTCCCTTCTTCCCTCCCCCCTCTCTCTCTCTCTCACACACACACATTTTACAAATGCATATTGATAAGATTCCAAAGTGAGGACTTCAAAGTTGGCCACTTACGTATTTTTTTCTTTCTTAGGATGGATGCCAGAGACAAGCAGGTTCTGCGCTCCTTGCGCCTGGAGCTGTGTGCAGAGCTGCTGGTTGAGGGCCTTATCATTCAATATCTCTATCAAGAAGAAATTCTAACAGACAATCATATGCAAGAAATAAGGGCCCAAGTTACTAATCAACGGAAAACTTTGGTGCTTCTTGACATCCTTCCAACAAGAGGGCCTAAGGCATTTGAAGCATTTCTAGAATCCTTACAAGAATTTCCATGGGTGAAAGAAAAACTTGAATCAAAGCGCAATGAAATTATGCTACTGACTCCTGCAGGTAAGATTTGTTTAAGTAATTAGTAGTTTGAGAATGTAGTTCATATTATTAATAATAACAAAATTACATTAGAATTAATATCAGGTTAATTTTTTAAAAAATGCACAAGTAGCAACAGTCTGATTTAATATACCCTCCCCCCCCAAAACATGTTCAAGGTCTGCAACAAAAATTGTTCCTGATAAAATGTTCTTGAGATCCAACATTGCCATGTTAGCTGTGCCTATCAATAACTACTTAAAGAAACCATATCATTTGTACACTCATGTGGTAGTTGCATGGTCCTAGGGAATATATGTGTGTTGAGTTAGAGAGATGATAAATAAATGGTAAGGTTGCCGCTTTAATTCAAACATGCATTTCTTTGGACCATATAATTAGCAAAAGGCATAATTTATTTAAGGATCTAGTGATAGGTACAGTAATCATAGCCACACCATTTATGAAGCCTCTTTCCTGCTTTGGATGCAGTTTGAATATTTCTAATATGTACTGGTTTGGTCCATAGTAATTATGCATCTTTCAGTGATGAATCTGAAGGGAGTTTTATGATCCTTTATTTAATTTCTGCTTTGCAAACACTTTAATCTTGAGTATACATATTTCGAGTGATGAATTCCATAAGCCATGAATATAGTTTACATACATGTCTTTCAACAGAACAGGTCACCCACTTGGAATTCTATTAAGTGGACTGCTATATGGATATTGTCTGTATAGTTTGGCGTTCTAAAATGAGTTGGTGAGACTTTGTCTTTGCTGACATTTGTACAGGTCCTTGATGGTGAACGCCTCAAGTAGTGCCAAGTTCAATCAGATCTTCTGAATGAAAAGTTAGTAAGAGTTATTAGGAGATTCTGGATCAGTAGAGACAGGAATCAGAGGCTTTGAATTAATAATAGCTGTGACTTTAGCCAAAAGGGTACTCAAAACATCATAACTGAGCTGAGTGTACCTCTGTTTGACAACATAGAGACCAGGATATAGTGGGCAACACCAGTCAGACACTTTGAGGTCCCCTCTTCCTTTTCATATCTCCAACATTGGTTTGATACTCCCATACACATTTTTGGCAGTTTAGTCAGTATCATATATGCTATTAGTATATCATTTTATAGAAGTTCTCTCTTAAATAATGTTAATTTAACACCAGTTTCCCACATTTTCTGCCATATATTCATGTTATCAATCAACGTTTACAGCTTGTAAAATTTTAATATAGGGCTGACTAGATATACTAACTGCATTTTGTTCACTCTTGTGTGGTTTTGCATTATTGTTGGCCATCGATCTTGATGGTTTTTGTAAATGGTTAGGAGATAACAGCATTCTTTGATTTCTTTGTTTGGTGATGCAGATTCTGCATGTCCATTCTCAAATATATTTTCCATGAAAATACATTTAGGAATTACATTTAGAAATTCCTTCCTTCTTATTGATTCTCTTGTTCTATGGATGCTGTAGTAGAGCAGCGGCCCCCAATCTTTTTGTACCAGGGACCAGTTTCCAGGAAAACATTTTTTTTTCACAGACCGGTGGCAGTGGGGATGTGTGGTTTCACGCATTATCTAGATTCCATGCATGCGCAGATGAAGCTTCACTCGCTTCTGCGGCCCAGTTCCCAACAGGCTGTGGAGCAGTACTGGCCCGCAGTCCAGGGTTCGGGGCCCCCTACTGTAAGGCAGAAGTTTTTAACTTGGACCATGGAGATTTCAAGGGGACTAATCTTGGATGGGGAAAAATTATATTCATTAAGCTCAAACTAATTTAGCTAGTCTTGTTATTGGTTTAATGGCTTAATAAAAAACTCATATTACATTTTTTATTTTTAGTTATTTTGGTTATTTGAGCATAGTTGGTTTCCCTAATTGATTTCCAATAGCTATACAGTCCATGTATTTTGTTTTAGATAAGTTTCTCTGAGAGTGGGTCTGTAGGTTTCAGCAGAGTCTCAAAGCACAAAAAGGTTAAGGACCTCTATTGTAGAGAATGATTCTTCATGCTTGAGAGAAGCTATTGCAGGTGCAAGATATGGTATGACAGAACTGCAGGGATACTTTCAGGATTTGGGAGAGAGTATCAAGAAATATACATGAGATGCTCCATAGATCATAACAGAGTTTACCATTTTAAAAAACACAAAACAATGTGAAACAAGCTAATGTTTAGATGAGATGTTAAAGATGAGAGATATTTGAGGGCAGGTTTTTTTGCATAGATATTCCATAAACAAGTTTTATGTACTTGGCAATGAATTTTTACAGTGTAGGGGGAATTCTGGCTTTGTAAGCCATGCCATCTGTGTCTATACACATTGTTCTGTATGTTCTGACCTTGAAATGTGGTTTGTAGAATTCTGCTTAGTGGAAACATAATGCCACTATTGTAGTTATATTCATCTCCTGATGCATTCAACCCTGTTGCTTACAGTGTTCTGGTTGGTTGCAGATATATCCCAATACAACTTAGTGATAAATGTAAATCTTTACTATGTTATATTGAATGTACATGTCAATCCACATTAGCTCTATTCTGTCTTGAGCATTGCAAATCCAATTTGGAATAGTGTTTTCAGACAGCTGGGCCCTTTTTTTTCTGAGACTCAAGCTTACATAGTATATGTAATTTCAGATAAGTCTCTGCTGAAGCATCTGAAAAAGAGACCAAATTTGTTTGTGTACAATGTAATGAGGGAAATGAAAGCATGAGCATGTGGGACTTAGAGCTGTTCAAAAACTTATAGGGAAAGTTTCCACATTTCCCATTTCCCTCCATTCTTCTGAGCATTGATGATTGACTTATCAAAGGCATAATACTTTCATTCTATGTTCAACTGTGGTGTTAACATGTATCAAATAGACAATACCATTTACAACCTGTGCAGTTGCGTTGTGTACCAGCTGAAGCTTCTGAATGGCCATTAAGGGCAGCCACATGTAGAGTGCATTGCAGTAGTCCAAATGGGAGGTTGCAAGGGTAAGAGTGAGCAGAGCCTTCTGATCCATACATGGATGCATTTGGTGCACAACCCAGAAGTGTGCAAAGGCCGTCTTCACCACACTTATCTCTTGCTCTACCAGCAGGAGACATAGTCCAAAATGTTTCCCAGATTGTACACCAAGTCTGTCTGAGGCAGTGCCATCCTAAGTAGTATTAGAGGTTGAAAAACCTTGGTACCAGAAGGCCCAAACACTCAAAGTCACTCAGTCTTGCTTGGGTTGAGCCGAAGTCCCTTGCGCCCCATCCATGCCTCTACAGTCTACAGGCATTGAGGTAGGGTGTCCACGGTATCACTCGGGCAGCCTTTGGTAGAGATATAAAACTGGATACCATTAGCATATTGATGATATCTCACCCCAAAAGTCAGGTGAGTCACATACATCTGTACTGACCCTGGTATCTGCAAACGGTTAGGAAATACTAGCGTTCTTTGACTTCGTTCTTTAGTGAAACAGATTCTACATTCCCATTCGCAAATGCATTTTTCATGAATGTTACAAAATTATCCTTCATCTCTTGCTTCTTCTCTACAGTGTAGTGAAGCAAGCTGGGAGAGAGCATGTTTCCTGTTGTGAGTAGTTGGCATCTAGGTAAATGAACAGCCACCTACTGTTAGAATAATCTTTGAAGAACAGCTTATCCATTGTTCAACCATTATCTTACTAATTGTTAGCTGCATAATAGTCTCTTTCATGAGATAGGAGGCCCATGCTTGTGCAGCTTCTGCTTCAGGAAGATCTTGGCAGCTCCTGCACTTCTTATAAACACATTTGATTACAGGCATTGCTCTGCATAGATAATCCTTGAATTACAAGTTACGTTGGTACTGAATGAATGGTACATATGCCCAGTCCCTGAAGTGACAGATGTAGCACCCCCCATGCTTACTGGATCAGGATTCAGATACTTGGCAGCCTATTTATACTTATGACTGAAGGGGCACTTCAGCTCCCCCCAACCTTCTATCTCCCATCAACTCTTCCCTTTTTGGCCCCTGTACTCTGCTGCTCCTGCTGTCCCACATTGCACCGATCTCAGCTGACCTTTCTTGTCGTCTTGTTTCTGTTGCTGCTGAGGCATGCCAAGCCTGTCCCTTCACAAAACAGCTGAAGATGTGCACAGCAGTTTCTTCCTGAAGATGTGCACAGCAGTTTCATTATGAGACTGGGGAAGAAGGCCTCACGTGGCCAGCAGCTGACTTGCAAATGGCCAGGTCGCGCATGCCTCATCAGCAGTGGCAGCAAGAAGGTGGCGAAGATAAACTCAGGCAGAGGCAGGAGTGCAGGGCAGCAGGGACCTTGGACTGGAAGATGGCTGCGGCTTTGCGATTCTTTGCTGGGCCACGTTTGGGGCTTCCTGGGGCAGTTTTAACTTTGCATCCTGTGGTTGGAACTTCCCTAGGTAACTGAGCCAGGCTGGGGCTTCTAGGAGAAGCTGTGGGGAATTACTTGCATGCAGCTTGCACTGAGCCTTCCAGGGACTCCCCTTCCCCCTTCTCCTGAGGCAGTGATGGCAAACCTTTTAGAGACTGAGTGCCCAAACTGCAACCCAAAACCCACTTATGCATCGGCGAGTGCCGGCTGGGTGTGGCCCCTTGGGTGGGCGTGGCCAATTGGGTGGCCGTGGCTGCAGTGGTAACAGCAGACGGGTGGGACTAAAAAGTTCAATCAATTCCAACTTTGCAAGATCTTTTTTTTCCCTGCGAGAAGTTGAAATTGACTGATTGAACCTTTTTTTTTTTTTTTGCACACAGTGGTGGAGGCCTAAAGCGAAAAGGTTTTATAAAACCCAGCTGAAGGCCTAGGACTGGGGCAACGGCGTGCGTGCCCACAGAGAGGGCTCTGAGTGCCATAGGTTCGCCACCCATGCCATAGGTTCACCACCACTGTCCTGAGGCATCCTATGCTCCTAACTTTACTGCACTTCCCTTCACTCAGACTGAAAATCCTACTTAGATTTTGGCTCCCTCTGAGCCAGGGGTCTGGCTGAAAAAAACTCCT